CAGAAATATCGTAGTCATTTTTGTTACAAGTGTGCAACAATAGTAAACATCATTCTATATAATGACAAAGTTGTCTTTCGTCGTAATAGTTATATTTGCGTTCCGAAATTGACGGCAGTACAGTACTGTCTGTCGGTCTGAACTCGGTTTGACAGACATTTCTTAAAATGTTTTTTATTTGATTATTGTGTTGTCGTTCTCAACTGTCCATAACATTCCGTTCAGAAGCGAACGACGACCGCGATCGTATTTTTCCCTTGCGGTCGTCTGCTGTTTCTATCTTGCCGAACCGCAACCGCAGTGTCAGGTTATTTCTGGCCAGTAGTGTGTATGTGTTGATTTTTTCGTTTAAACTTCGTTTCCCGCGAGTCTAGAAGTCACAGTCAGTAGTGAGAAAAAACGCGTCAGCGTCAAAGTCATAAAAATGCCTCCAAAGTCTATTACAGATAAAGCTCTCGAAGCATCGATGTTTTGATAAATCATATTTTAAAATAAACAGGCATGCAATTGAAATTACATTTTTTAGCATGACTCATGCAACTTTGAATTCAACTTGATACGTGACCTTTAATACCAGTTGTTTCCTGCATCAATTTTACTTGTAACCCCCCCCCCCCCAATTTTTTGGTTAAAAAGCTTTAAGCTTTTACGTTTAAAAGAGTCTGAATTTAACTGAGGTCCCGTTTACACTATACCAGATTCGCTTAATTAATTGTCACGATATCTTCGTTTGCCTTTCAAGGGCATTGGTTGCAGCAAATGCTCATTAGTTTGATAAATTTAGTATATTTATTTTGATCTCTAACAGTAAAATGTTTTACTGCCTTTCAATAGCTGCAAAATTTGACCCACTCCGCAAGCAATCATGTATAGTAGTGTTAACGAGGATTGACATGCATAAAACTACATTCACTGAAACATGTTTACCAACGTGAGGTTTGTCATTAATTGTTTAGATCAGCAAACAGTCTTTCCTCCACGCTGTTGCTGAAATTGGCGTGCGAAAGATAATTCAGGCGACTCTTTGCATACTTGATTATCCCATTGAATTGGTCCTTGACTGCCAACTCGCAGGCCTTGTTTGCCCACTCTGTGGCTTTTCTTGTATATCTTTTGCATTGATCTGTATCAAGCTGGGAGCGGCGATAGTTCAAGTCAGACTTCACCAAATACAGATAGCATTCGTTAACATCTGTAAGCGATTCTCCGTTCAAAGAGCTCTCTTCCACCACAAGTATGCTCGCAATCGCCACTTTAATGCCTTCATCAGTAACTTCTTCGATGTCACTATATTCTTCACATAATGGCGTGCAATTGAGGGAGAGCATTGCTAGTCGAAGGTGACAACGATGTAGAAGATTCGATTTTAAGAATAGAAATTTCTCGTCGGTTTCATTTCTTTCGCCCTTGATGGCATGGGTGTGCGCGATGGCTTTGGTGTACAGTGAAAGCGCTTGTTGCTTCAGAGATTTGCGGACCTCGGGGTTTCTCTCGTCGCCCGCTAGGATGTTGAACAAGTAGCCTGCGTCGTTGAGCATCCAAGCTGTATGCCAACCAGGAGATATTCTTTCCATTTCTTGCAGTCCGCCATAGGTAACTTCGTAGCTCCTGTCGTATTCGCCTTCACCTCTTTGAAGGCATGCGAGAAGATGGAGCCTCTGTATTTCAAACTCAGTTGAGTTCTCTGTCGATGCGATCAAAGAACTTGCCTTGGTAAGCTCTTCGTATGCTCCATTAAAATTTCTTCTGCGATACGCTCCTAAGGCAAGCATAAAACGGACCGAAACCTCTACATCAGCCTCTTTAAATGATGTGCACTTTTCTGCCTTTGAAGCAAAACGCTGAAGCTCTTCAAAGTTACCATCTTGTATGAGTTGCTCCATGAAGTCGGTTATCCTTCGGCAAAGAGTTCGGAATGGGCTATTTGGGGTTGTAATTTGGGGCATGGTAACTGGAATGGAAACGTGTTCAGAACCACGTGCACTTGTACTATCTGGTTCTGTAACCTGCTTTTCACTGTCATTTCTCCAAGAATTCTCTCGGCAAAATTTGACAATATCACGCATATGGGCATCGTGTAATAGCCTTTTCTTCCAACGTCCGAATTCCATTTTCTGCACTTTCTGGTCATCGCCAATATCGTAGGCTTCTGGATACGCAAGGAATACGCCTCCTGGGCAATAAGCAATCGCGACTACGATCACATACAATTCAGGAATGATTTCTTCGTTTGCATCAACCACTGGAACAAATGATATATTCCAGTGCTTGCCAAGCTGAGGTTTGCCATGTTCCTCTGGCCACACAATATTTTCTACCGCGGATCCGATCTTGTCTTGTATTCTCTTCTTTTCCTTTTCATCGACTACTTGTCCACAGATTTGATACATCTCATCGTCGATCCCAATGTAAACGTGCCCGCCTTTGTGGTTTGCGAACGCCACAATGTAATGCGCTATCTTGTTGGCGATTATGCGATCTGCCAGCGTTTTGTTTTTATTTCTATCAGATTTGATCTTTTTAAATTGCACTGTATTAGACTCTCTTTGGTCTTTCGGCATAATAGAATCCTTCTTAAATTTCTGTTCATAGTCATGAAGTTTTGAGTTATCCAATGGTCCAGATTTCAGGAGTGGTGCAATCTTCTCCAGCGGTTCCGTTCTGAGAACTTGTTTCACGAGAAAATCAGTTGGTAAGACCAAATTGTACTCCATCGTACAAATACGGTCGCTTGGAGAAACTGTGAAGTTGATTTCCTTACCACGATCTTTGATTTCTATTTTGCAATATTCGCGAAAGCTCGTCAAACCTAGGAACTCTATCACTGTTTGCTCGATTCCACGAACTAGTTCGTCATAGATTTCAGGAATCAAGGAGCTTGGAGACATAAGAGTGAGGACTCCACCATAGCGACTGTTAAGAAGAGCGCAAACAGCAGTACAAGTGGTTTTGATTATTTCTGTCTTTTTTGCCTTGTTCTTCAGGATCTCCCGCGCAATCTTCACCACAATTTCTGCTTTCTTCGACTGTTGTTTATCTTCTGACATCTGTTCAAAATATTATTAACCTGTTGGATTTATGAATATAACTAGGCGCCTTATTCTGGGTAAGAAATGAATTGTATAACTAACCAAGTTTTAACACCGTAATGGTGGAATTACTTTTTTATTTACTTAAATATGTTTGCCTAGGTGCTGAACTAAAGCAAATAAATTTGGTGCGATAAATAAAAGTTTGACAAACTTTTAATTAAAAGTTCTCAGTGTCAGCTATCTCACGAAATATAGTTTTTTATTGATCACCTGGGCAAAATTTAGCGTTTGTAGTCAGTCCTGAAATTTTTGTCAAGTTAGTATTTTCCTTTTTGAAAGATCGATCGAAGGAGATATTTTATATTGTATCTTTTAAGTTTTTCAAAACAGAATAAATCGTATTTTTTTGTAGTGTACCCCCTTAAACACGATTGGTTTATCAAGATAAAAGCATTTGCATTTAACTTAGAGTAAAGCTTCAAACTGAAACTTTAATGTTTTTAGAACACTGTTGATAGAAAGGTATATTGAAGTGCAATACCAGCTTTTTGTTTAGCTCTAATGCTTATAGTACGAATAGCAGCGACTGAGTTTAAGAGTGTCGTTCTTCCCCTAAGTGTGCATGCATTAATTGTTACGCCGCATCTCATTAATTTCTCATAATTGTCGTGTGTATATGAAACATAAATAGGCATTACGTCATCCATCTCCCGAGATAACGATAATAATGATTTCCGTGCCGTGTAAATCTTCTTTGTCCCACAATTATCAGTTTACGGTATCTCTGTCCTCAGTACTTTTTCATTCGGCTAACCATGTTAAAGCCATCATGCTATTATACTTTTGGGGGGTAAAGCTCGCTTTGACGTGGCTAATTTTGATGTCGTGACCCTGCGAATCTAGTATGGTGTAACAATTAAATCCTAAGACAGAAGTTTTTCTATCTGCGCTAGTTTTGCATGCTTGAAGACCGTTTCATGAAGTCAGGTACATATATTTTACCGGTTCTGTGAAGATTTTGGGCGTAGATACTTTATAATAGCATTTATCGTTTGATTCTCTACACGAATAACAATTATGTTTTTTTCCGGAATTGCATATATTTCTTACGGCCCATTTACACTATGCGATTTATCGTATACGATTCGTACCCTGGCGTATGTGAACGTGTGAACACACGTACAAACGTGACACTTTAAATTCCACCCTGGACAATATGAATGAAGATTGTGGCAAAGGCCCTCTTTTGCATTCGTCAGAATAATAATTGCATACAACTAATCGTGTAGTTTAAATAGACCTTTATAATGCTATTAAAGAAACAACCACACACAAATTTACATGAATAACTCTATGTTACACTGTTTTAGAATATTCATTTTATCCCGTACCTACACTTTGTGGCCACATTGATAATTTCAATTTTACTTTCCGAATGTACTTTCAAATTTCATCGATACGGAATACTGATAGATGTGAAAACAATAGGATATAAAAACCATATATATATATACATATATATATGTGTGTTCTTGTTGTTAACTACGAAATTTCATGGACATTTTAGTATATCTAATACCTACCTTTTATTCTGTCGTATTCAACAAAGAATGCACTAGAATTGAACACAAGGATCCAAGAAAAAAATCATCTTTATGACAGTAATGTATTGTACGTTGCGGTTAAGGGATTTCCCCTAAAAGTTTCGAACTTTCAACGTAGATATCCAAGGCATTTTTGTTACAAACGTTCTACAGTACTAAACATCACTGTATACAGGGACAATGTTGCCTCTCTTCGTAATAGTTTTATCTGCTTGCCAAAATTTATTGCTTTCTTTTCAATTTCGACAATTTGATGAGTAAGAGATTATTATAGGTTTCTGTGACTGCTCAGTGCCCCACGCTTTTCTTTCATCTTGCCCGCTAATTTTCAATGTCCTTGCATTTGGGTTAGCTGTGTCAGGATCCAATATGGCGGACCGTTCGAAGCGGTATAAGAAAATTGACTTTCTTGGCGAGGGTCAGGTTGGTTGCACGTCGCCAGTTTTAACTGCGAAATTAAAAAAATACGTTCGCATGTACTTATAGTTTATCCTTTTTTCTAGTTTGCCACAGTTTACAAAGCAGAGGACCAGCAAACTGGACAAATTGTAGCGGTGAAAAAGGTAAATATTTCTCTATCAATATCAATTGACCGTGTCGGTCGACATTGTGCGTTCTAGTTTACGTCTTCAAAGTAGTCTATGATGTAGTCTAAACATTAAGATATCACTCCGTGTGTATAATTTATTATAACGATTCACTTGATACTCTTGAGCATATAAAATGTGTCTGGCGGTATAAAACCAATATGAAACAGATTCAGGGCCCATCATTGAATTGGGCTGTGCCATGGTGAGCATATGACGAGACGAAGACATGTCTTGAAATTATGAGTAAATTACTACCCTAACATTTCAAGGTTCATTACTGCCCAAATGGAAATTCATTTGAAGTTGTTTGCACCATTCAATGTTGTGTGCACTGTTCATTTCTATGTAACATAATATATGCTACATGTATATATATATATATATATATATATATATATATATATATATATATATATATATATATATGGTACTCCCAGTAATGATTTTTTAAATTTTCCTTAAAGATCAAGCTTGGAAGAAGGAGTGAAGCAAAAGATGGTACATAATTACATAATATGTCTTAAAGATATTGAAAGATCTATATTTTAGGGAGATTTTGGAGATTTTCAAAACTTCATTCTTCTTTTGCTGTTAGGGATCAACAGAACTGCCTTGAGGGAAATCAAACTGCTGCAGGAAATTTCACATGAAAATATAATTGGCGTAAGTTTATTTTAAGTTCACCCTACTAATTATAATTTATAATAATATTTTTGTAAGTTTGCATCGTGACATCTAATATGGTAAATTAGTTTGTACACACCATGTAAGTATTTAATACTAAAAAGCTTTTGTTTTTGTCAATTGCACCAATAAAGGCCTGCGTTAATGGATCGAAAGCTTTGCAGTATAAATACTTAAGCGATGTAGCTACAAGCTAATCTACTTAATTATAGTTTGCTGTAACAATGAAAGCTGCCGCAATAACAGGCCCTGAATTGAGGTTGGCAATCATCATGCTCACATGATTTTCAAAAAAGCTCACATTTGTACTTGCTGATGTGAGTACCGTGTATGATGGTATATATATTCGAGAATGTAAACAGAAACTTTGTTTACATTTGATAGATAATATCTACCAGTACAGTTAAACTGGTTAAATTTAATCAATTCCAAATTCAACCAAACCCAAGCAGAATCTCTTTGATGCTTTAGAGTTAATATATTATTCAACTAGATGGGGGCAAGACTGTAAATTTCGACAGTATTTCAAAGTCATGACAGTCTTAACCTGTGTCTTGAATGATTGAATCATATATTATATTAATTCTAAAGATGTCTTGTCTTTTTGGAATTTCTTTAAAAATACTTTCCTCTTTTTAAAATGTCAGTTTTTCTAGTCTACAGATAAAAATCTTTCCTTCTCAATCTTTTGCTGACTTATTCTTTATTTAAATTTTTATGTGTAACTAACTATTCAGAGGCCAATCAAACTGGAGTAGTTTAACTCAATGGATGATTATCAATGTGTTAATCTATCAATCTATCTCATAATATATAATTGTAATGCGGTCAACAAGATTTTCTTCTCGACTAGTTCTTTTTCATTACTGAGCCAATAGCGCTGCTCGAGGGTCGTAATTCCGCCCGGCTATTTACACCAAAGAATTACGGGCCTTCTGAAGTTCATCATTTATCACGGGCGTATAGCGATGCATTGGTGAACATCTTACTTTCGCCAGTCGATATATTAGGCAAATGCTACAGTCATCTCACTTAGTTTGTGGACTGCAGACAGTGTCTTCCTATATAATCTGGGATCACTAAGTCTATTCACACTACCCAATTTTGTCGGATCCAAATCGTTTCTGATGGATGTTTTGTAATCTGTTCACTTGTATTCTATGTGTAACCAATCTGTTACCGCAAACGCTGTATTGCTTTTAATTACAAATGTCACAGACGGTGATTAATATGAATTAATATTCCACATTTCTGCCAGGGTTCGCATATCCGCATATCAAGTATTCGATTCACTCAAGTATTTGATCCTATATACTTGCCGTCGATGACAAAAAGCTTAGACTACTTGGTCGCAACGGTGAAAACTTCCATATTTTAGAGTACAAATCTCGTCTTTAGTCCCTCGATTACAGAGTTGACTCGTTTCCCGTCTTTACTATTGGCGAATTCGAGCTTTGGTCCCGTCGACTTTCGGAGAGCGTCGACTTTCCAAAACGTAAACATTTTCTTGTCGAATATTCCATAAATAAGCGGTGCACACAACCGTTGCAAATTGCCCCATCCAGATGTGTTTCATCAGCAGATATTTCTCGCCAGCCAGATTTAAAAAGGCAGATAAGTGGAATATTACCAGCGCCATAGCAGAGAACGGTATAAAGACAAACAATGGAATTTCGACGATCGCGAATATATCTCACTATTCTTATGGTCTCACTATTCTTATGGAAGAGGTTGATTTACTTTGCGGCGTTCGACAGTTTGATCGTACAGTTTTTAATTTCCCCTTAAAATTTAACCCAGACATATCATAAAAAACGACCTGTCATTTTAAAACGTCTCAACACATTTTAGCGCATCTTTTGTATTTGCCTTTATTGACATGACTTCCTTAGCATTTAAGTATTCTGTCGTTTATTATTTAGCACATTTATATGAAAGTTGAATATATCTCGAGCAGGTGGAAAGCCTCACCTGGCACCCATTTTCCCCCGCATATTTTAGTTCAATCCTCGATCATTAATATATATCGTTTTCTTTTCTCAACTGAAGTCAGAGTGTTAATAGTGGTTAACAGAGTGGTTAGTGTAATAACTTAGTGTAATATCACCAGACAAACGCGAAACGCTTGTTTATGTCTCGTATTTATTCAATCATTACACAAAGCGTTGAGACAGAGAAGTTGGTGTGACAAACTTACACTTATCGACACGGTCTAAAAAGTAAAACGATGCAACGGACTATATCTATAGCTTGCTTACATTAAGTAACTGATTAGAAATATTTTACATCTTGCTAATTGATGACAGACAGTGATAAGACACGTCACTTCATCAACGTTGTACATGCGCGCATGTTACTTAAGAATTAAACAAATAAACCTGGTAAAGATGGCTTCTAGAAGATAGAAAAGGGTACATAACTTCTGATTTTATCTATTAATATTTCGCGCATTACAATCTTCATCTTTTTGGTTGATGTGATTGAGGGAACAAGTTATGGTTTATTCGTATATATCTATGGCTCTTACGAGCATCCGTAACTTACTCCTTCGTTTACATCCATCAAAAAAGGAATATTCTGCTTAGAGTTGCAGCAAAAGTTTTAAGTGCAATAAGGAAGTATTTAAAAATTTATAGTCTTCGCAAAATTTGCATCATTTTTTTAAAGTGACAATCAGTAATTTGATGTACTGTCTTTAAAAATAAACATTCACACTGAAGTTCAAGATCGATGAAAATTGTTGTATATTTTTCGATATCAGAATTCGTTGTATAAAGTATATTCATAATATAAACGTTTCGTCCTTAAGGGTCGATAGTTCCTCAATCATATCACGTTTTCCTTCCTCACTGCCAGAAGTGTCTGGTCATTTTCAAATCCATCCCGCTTCCTCCAGACGCATGATATCCAAAACGTAAACATTTCTTTATCGAATATCCCGTATAGAAATGGATTTGCAAAATTTGTGCCGGCGGTACAAACAACGATTGCAAACTCCTGTATCCAAGTATGTTTCATCAGTAGATTTTGCCGGCCAGCTAGACTTAAAATATAGCAGGAAATTATCGGAATGTTGCCAATGCCATAGCAGAGAACGGTACAGAGACAAACAAGGGAAGTTCGTCTTTCAAAAATATATTTCGTTATTCTTGAGGAGGATTTAGAACTCCTTCGCAATGGTCCAGTTGAGCGTACAGTTTTCATGAGTTTGTTTTGTTCGATGATCCACCGACATATTTTATAGTAAACTACGGCCATAAACGACGCTGGTGCGCAATACAAGAGCAGCGCTAGTGAATTACGAGACATCCAATAAACTGTGTTATTCTTCTCTACAAAACATTCCGGGATACCAACGCCATAACCTATAATCAAACCAACGGTGTAGCTAAAGCCACAAACAACTCTCAGTTTTGGTCGACTGACGGCTGGTTTCAATGGATGAATAGTAGCGTAGTAGCGAAGAACAGAAATTATTAGCATCATGCCCACTCCGGCGAATTCAAAGATGTAGGTTACGTCCATGGCGAGGCAGAAAAGTCTTGAATTTGGCGGGAGAAACGTTTGCTCGACAAAATCCCTGCAAATGACTCGCATGAAAGTTACAACAAGCCATCCAAGATCGCAGATCGCAAGATGCAGTATTAGAAAGTAATGATTGTGTTTCAATAGTTTCTTTTGCCTCGATACGGAGATGATGACCAAAATGTTTCCGATAATTCCCGATGCAATAACTAAAATGTAAGAATATCTGAACGCATCGCTGGCCCGCTTTTCATCATCCCGCCGTGTGTAAAGTTTGAAACGTGACTCTCATTGTCAGAATGCATTCTATATGTAATCCGACCTTTACTCGCTTAACTCTTTGTATGGTTCTCCCGAGGAGCAAAACAGATGACAAAGTGTTTTAGCACGTTATATAATCAGGTGTATTAGTAAGTGCGATTAGATCCCCCAGCTTTCCCCAGGAAAAAACGATTTTTTCACGAGGAATCGTGTAGCGGCAGACGTGATCATAAGTTGGAATATTCTGTTGTTATGTGTTTTCACTTGACAAAATGATTTCTTGACAGATGCATGTCGTCAATGATTCATCACAAATCGTTTTTTAATGTTTAAATTTTTATCCTTTCAGTTATACTGAATTTTACTTGAAGCTTACCATTTTCCAGCATGTAAGAAAGAAATTTTCACACAATGCCTTCAAATGTTTCCAAAATGCATTTGAAAATACGAATATTTTGTTATCCATGCATATACAATCAATAATGTCATATTACTTTCGCTATTCTAGTGCAAAAGATAAGATATTATCACTTAATTATTATCTCTTACTTATATATGAGGCATTGTTTCTTATCCAAATTTTTAAGTAAATGTGTAAATACGGTTGAGTTTTATAAGGTGAACTACAGTTATCACGCAGATGAATTTTCTGGCATAGCGCATAAGCCATGCACGTAATTTCTGGCGATGCAAAGGCCGACATCACCATTGGCGTTGTTAACCGCGTTTCCAAACTTCGTGCAACGAGGCACGTGTGATATGACATAGCGTTTGCATTTGAATGCAAAGTGTTTTATTTGAATGCAAAGTGTTCGATCTTATAAACAGATCCCAAAAAACCGAGTAAGATCTCTGCATACTGATTTGTGTAACTTTGTCTAATGTCACCCACGAACGCTAAAAAACAGACAATATATAACTGACTATATCCAGACTCTAGTTTGCATACATGAAGTAACCGATTAGGAGTATATTATTTCACATTCAAACTATTGATATATTCAATTTACTCATCGCACAAAACTGTTCCTGTTTATATGTTACATTGACTGATGAAGTTCAGCTGAATAAATGAATAATGATAGACATTAAAGAGAAGACATGTAAAGAACCTTATCAACATTATACATGCACATATACGTGACAGGAATTGAACTCATAAAGCCGATAGGAAGAGCTTGTATACAATGTCG